CTCCCCATCTCCCCCTACGTGCTTCCTGAACTGGTGCGACGTGAATTGGTGCTACATATAGAGAAGGGGGGAGGTTCAACCGTTGGAGGCTGTAGAGCTTGCAAGTGCACATCTACATACTGTTCCTGATTGACGAGGCAGACTGAGTGAGATTTCGCCTCTGAGTGATAGAAAGACTTAGTAGTTCCCGCCATATGCACCCAACTGCCATTGTCCAATAGGGACCATGAATTCTCTGCAAAGGTATCGGCACTGAAATGACCTGGACAATGCAGGATGTACACAAAAAAATATTCGGGTACATGTCTGGCGTGTAATTCTGTGGAGCGGGCTGGAGTTGCACTCATCCCGTAAATGCCATAGACAGGACTTCTATATTCACGCCAGGTGCAGTACTGTCTCCCTCTGGGCAGACTGCACCCTGCTCTTCTTCCATCCAGAGGACAATGTCTGCAAAATCAGAAACAGTATAGGGGTTGCAACTGTAAGCAAGGAGACATACACTGATTGCATAGTACGCCAAGTGGGCTGACTGTAGCACTATGAGATCATTTGATTCTGCAGATTGCACGGCAGGAAGAGGTTCATTTAATTCTGCAGATTGCATGGTAGGGGGAGGTTCATTCCGGTCTTGACAGGTTCCTCTGGTCGCATTAACTTCATCGGCTTCAGTATACATTCCGGAGAGATATCATCTCCAGCCGGGGGCTCCATCGAATAATCAGACGGTGAATGCTTCTTAGTGAGCAATCGGGCCTAGGTGTCTCGTCATATTCGCTGTACACAACTCCACAAAGAAAAGCATGACCGTGCCACTGTTTAATTGGACTTCCATCAACTCGTCAGGAGGTTGTGTGTGTGTTTTGAATTTTCACCACAACAACCCCTATTCCACCCAGATGAGCAGATCCAAAAGCTAGGCATATGCAATCCTCAAATGATCTAGTCCAACCCGGATCAAAACGACTACTCAACAGCAAGATTCACCTGATATGAGCACACATAGAACTTAATTACAACTTGAAATGATATACACAGATTCTCCAGATAGCGGCTAGGGCCACCAGCAACAACATCAACAGGTACTTTCTCTCTCTCTCTCTCTCTCTCTCTCTCTCTCTCTCTCTCTCTCTCTCTCTCTCTCTCTCTCTCTCTC